AATATTTAGAATTGTAAACGTCATTGCGAAACGAGGAATTTTATTTCTTATTCCTAAAAGTTCTCGATAAATTCTTAGTGCTCTTGCCCAACTAAAACTTTCTAGGAATCAAAATATACGAAGATGGAAACTCTGAGCCAGAGTCACTCGTTTTGTCGATATATGCATCAAAAGTTAAGTATATTCCTAGTTTTTATTATAAAATTATTATCGCATTTCTTCCAACAGATATTTATTGGGAACTGTATGAATTATATTCATCATTTAATGTGAGTATACGAATCAATTTCTATAGTGCAGACGATACAAAACTAATTTCACAAGTTTTTCAGGCACTTCAAAAGGACTATACCCATTGCAGAATAACTTTCAATAATGTATACCTAAAGCATTATGGAATAATTGAACTGAATTGCAATCTTCTACTACGTCTACTCACCTATGTAAAGCAAGAAAATATGTAAAGATTCTCATAATCAAGGAGACAGTAGTGTAAGAAATAAGAATAAGAAATAATACAACTAAAATATAACGTAATTTCTACAGAAACGCAGGAAATTCAGTTAAAATAAGAATATCTAAACACAGTAAAATGTTACTATTTAATATTAGATAATTACGCCATACTGAATACTAGCACATTGTCATATGTGTAGCGTAGTATGAAATTTAATTAATAGCACTTGAACGACTCAATGAAAATGAAAAGGGTTTTCATTTGTCTATTTTTATATTAACCTATCTCCACCTATTTAAAAGTACTGTATCACTTCTAAATATACAAAAAAATAACATACTTACTGATTCCGAAAGCTTTATAATTTTCTTGGGCGACAATTCCTTTTTGAGGTAGTAAGTCAGCTGCACTTTTTGATTTTGAAGTTGCCTCCGCAGTGTGGCAATAATTTTATTTTTATCATCCAGAACTGTTAAAAGGGACGGTTGGACACAAACATTACAAAAATCGCCATCCTGTCAATAAGAAATAAAATATACTTACTAATTTTTAAAGTATTTGTAATTTTTTCACCTCGCTATCCTTAGAGAAAGTGGAATGACTGTTGTTTATGATTTCATGAGGGTGAAACATGACTATGGGCGATAATTAATGATTACAACTATATACGACTTGGAAATTTATATTTACAAGTGAGGTTAAATACTGAAATGTCAAAATGACGGGTAGACGACGTATATCAACGTACCAATAATTATAACTAGAAAAAGGTGATTCAGTTATTATGTTCAGGAAAAACGTAAATTATCGAAATTAAAAGTAAACGATAATGTAAAGGCTTGAAAAATTGAAAGATACATAGTACATTGAATCAAAGAAATCTTTCCTTCTAGATATCGTGTCAGGGCAGAAAGTCCCTAAGATCCTTCTCAGCTAGATCTATTGCCACATATAGTTCACCTTTCTTGATACTTATTCTCTTGACACCCAAAGTATTCACTCCAGGACTAATTTTTTTCAATCCTACGACATTCTTTTCAGTTTAGCAATTGATTTTATTACTATCTTCTAGAGCTTCTAGTTCATCCAGACATTCCTTTACCAGCTTAAGTCACCAAGTTTCTATCAATTAATTCAATTATTCAAATGAAGTGGGAATTTATGTTTTCTATTTTGACTACTCAGTTTTCAGTTGTTCCTATACCCAAAGCGTTTATTTCAGTACCTTCCATTTGCCTTCCTTTCTATTTTCCACATTGTGAAATTATGTGGTCCATTCCTGTGCCATGCTATTCTTAACATGATTAACAAAGGATTTTATTTTTGCTGTAGGTGATAATCGAAGAGAATGCTTAAATATAACTCGTGAAATATGACTACATGCTGTTCTCCGACATCGTTACGAAATCTAAGGTTTTAATATGAAACTGTTATTTTCTGAGGAACCCGTACCATCCCAGGCTATTTCCTTTGTTAAAATAAAATTGAATTGTGTTGGAAACGACGAGTGTCGCGGTGCACTACATTATGGGATAATAAAATACATGCTTTACGAGGTAGACACACCACGGTATTGATTTTCTTCGAACAAAACAACGACCGGTAACAAACCGACCACGAAATATAATGCAAATACACGATATGTACTTAAAACAATCAACAAAACGAGATTCTGTGCTTTATGAAATATATTTTTCATTATGATTCCAAACGTAAATAAACTGGGCAGTCAACAATGGAATAATTCTACATATATAGATATTTAAGGATGTAGTAACGCTTGTAAGTTATAAAAATGTTATTTGTTTTGGGAAAATACAACAAAGCTGAACTGTTTTATTATTTCAATTTCAAGTTGTTGGATTTAAGTTATTTCTGATGTATAACAGTTATTTAGTTGCCACCTCATCGATTGGCAGTCTTGTTCATGTCCTTGATTTTGGCCAAACCAAAATTTCCTTCCTTTTAGAGAACAGTTTTGTGAAAAGACAATGGGTTCACCTTCGTGCATTGGCAAATATCTTGGAAACCTTAAAAAAAGATAGCCCCCAATACTATTTTTCAAGTTCAAGAATGTACTTCTGAATAGAGGTAAATTTAATTAATTCTCCTTTTATCCGTAGGAATTTGTGGCAGCGGTTTGAACAGGAACGAATCAACGATCTTTCCAGGAAAAGATGCAGCAAAACAAATTGTTCTTAATTTAATAAACTATTCGAACGTCTACAGTTCGGAACGTATAAACGTAGTTTTAAAGTGAAACAGGTTTTATATCGATGCATCTTACGAAATCAATGACTATCCTGTTTTGTTTACAAAGACAAAACTAAAGTTGTCTCGAAGTTCTAACGTGTTATATTTTAATAAAAGTTCTGTCAACGTGTAACTCACTTTATATTCTTCCAACAAATATTTACGTCCTATAACATTTCAACACGTAAGCAAGGATCAAATATTGACGTAGCCAATCTAAATTCAATTTTTGTCGGAAACTCTCTTTATCTCCTTTAAGCCGCTTTATTTCTCGATACGTTCTTGAATATTGTGTCGAATAGATACCTATAGGGGTTTAGGATCATTATTCTGACTTCAAGATGTCTCTAGGAGGAGATTAATATAGTAAGTGACAATAAATTTACATATCAGCTTTTTTATTTTTTGAGTTTTATTATTACCTGTAAGAAATTAAGCATACATTTAAAAAATGTCTTTCTTAATGTCGGAAATAAAATAAAGTAAAAAATAAAGTAACTTTCTTCACTAGTAAAATAATGAAAAAATAATGAACTCATAATAAATCAAATTTAATTTACTAACTTATTAACATTAACATTTACAATTATAGTAATTGACATTTCGTTTTTTGTTTTATCACATTTAACTTTTCGTTAATAACAACCCTTGTAGCATTGTTGTCATCATTTTCGGAAAGCATAACATCTGCCGAAGTTTGTGAAGAATTTGCACAAGTTATGGATGTCTCTTCTTGTAAGGAACAGCTATATATAACTGTTTACTAAATAATTGATATTAAACAACGTACCATAGCAACCAGTAAGTATAACAAAACTTACCACGGTCCATTAAGTACTAAGTAGTAAGAAATATCAAGTCGTGCGAATAGTTTTTTTTTATTAAATTCCAATAATTCTGACTCCACAAATATGATTGCGATGTGATTATGGATAAAACGTTGTATTGCATTCGTGTTTTAATTGCCTTTTATCCACTTAAGAATAGTAAAATAGTTAAACATTCTTGCGTGGATAAAACGCTACTTATAAAATAAATAACTATTATTGATCGATTTTTTGCTATCATGACAACAATATGTTAAAACCTAGATATTAGCATATTAGAATAGATGGACAGACAACTAATATCCAAATCAATATTCCACAATAGAAATATAATCGTATTGACGGAGCATTGACAACATCAATACAGAGAATGAATAGCATACCTATATATCTTGATTATTAGTTTATAAAACTCTACATAAATATAAATTATTTAAATAATTTTTCGGATGTCAAACTCGTTGATAGTCTATTTACCATTTCAATAGATATGTTTTGGCTGCAGCTAAATTAACTAAAATTAATATACCGCAATTCAATAATAGCCCTATATTTGCTTACCAGTACACAGAATTTGTGCTAATTGAAATGGTTTATATGGAAATATGAATACTAATTTGTTTCGAGTATTGTATTCGATTTACACAACCTCTATATTTCAATCAGTCCTAATGGCGGCATCGGCACAACTAGGAAAATCATTTTATCAGACCGATACTAATTACGCCTCAACTACATTCAAATTAAATCGCATGTGATCTTAACCGCTCAAAATTAACTATATAGAATGTCTACACCTCGTGTAGATTTAGGATAACATCCTAGAAATATTTTGTGATGTACCTAAGTAAACAGATATTAATTTTAAGGAAAATATTTAAATATATGTAATACACAAATCTACAGAAATCTTGAAAAACTAGGATCTTAGTAACAGATGGTAACATATTTGAAAATATATATTTAGAACTATAGTATAAATGAGATACATTTTTCACTGTGGGTGGTATAATAGGAGAAATATTTTCAGCAACCTTTTGAAAAGAAGAATTATTTCCGTATTTACGTTTTGAATAAATTCAAGAAACGTGAAGTTTAATTTTTAAAACTCGTTAGAATGTATGAATTTTTAGTCATACAATTTTCAGTTAAAAATTGTATGAGAAACACTTTGCCGGAAGCAATGTTATATTTTCATATATATATCAGTTGCAGTTCCGTTAACCTATTATTTTACAAAATAAAAGGATACTAATATTATTATTAAAGCATTACCAGCACAGTTTCTCAAGTAGGTAGTTTAATAAATAAACTTTTTTACTTATTTTTATCTGGGAAATATCTCGGTAAATATTTAATCTGGCGACTTAGCCACAATTTTAAATAAATAGACGTCTTTATAGCAATGCCACACTTTCTAGGGCTCAAACCGTTAAAAAATTATTTAAGTGTTAATAACTTACCTTTATCTTATATATACCATGGCACAATTTCCGGAAATGGTAAACCTGAAACATATAATAGTAATATGTTAAATGTAGCAATTTCAATTGATGTATTTTTTAAAAAATATTAAACATTTTAAATCGTTCGATGATTCTGTCAATATTTTCTTGGAACATAGGAAATAAAACCTAATACCATGACATTTCTTTGTCTTTGGCACATCTCAATGATTTATACAAAACCCTGAAACTTTACCATAGCCCCGAATCCCTATTTTTAAAATATTCGGATGCCTTTACCGTCGCGTGTCCGAACTTAACACATTTTGCAGTGTTTGTTGCATGTTGTGCCGCACTTAATACATGTCACAAACAAGTAAATTGCGACGATTTAGTAAGGTATATTTGTTGTTTAAGAGTTCCATGAAAAACGATAGTAATAACCTCGAGGCGGATATTCCTAAGCCAGCTTTAATGAACCTGAAATTCAACGAATGTTATTTCCTGGGGAACAATACAGAAAGCGTAACTGTGAATCATTAGCGCAGCTTCTGCCTCTAACGTCCCTTAATGAAATACAGCCGTATCATCAAAATCTCGTAAATTATAATATATTTTATAACCAATTGTTTTATGATCTAGCGAAAGGGGTGAGGTTTATATCCAGCCTGGCGTTAATTAAAATTCATTTCGTGAGTTATTTAATAGTTGAAATAAATAATTTATTGAATCATTATTAACAAAATGGACTAGCTAAACGTTTTGCTTGAGGCAACACACTGATATGAACAGGACGGTCTTCTGTGGACCGATCTTAGGAAGTGTTCGAATGTCGACCCTGATGCCTTACAATTCAATACCAAAAGTCTTAGTTCACGACGATAGGAAAAAAAATAATATTTTATTATTTCTATTTCCTCCTTACGATCCTAAAACACCCTGTGCAACGAAATAAAAGTTTCGAACGGACCCGGGTCAATTCAACTCGCATCGATTGGCATATAAGTGAGGACCGGAAGTAGCCGGTATGGAAAATTCAAACGTTAATGTCAGGGGCCGGAACATTTTTATTAGGGGCTAGCTTGCCGGAGAATAATTTATTTCGCCATTTGAAAATATTTCTCTTTCCGAACGCAAAGCGGCCGGGCCCATCGATCCGTATTCGATGCTCTTTTATTACCGGGAGCGACGCCGCCATATTAAAACACCTGCGATGAATAACGATGCAGAGTGTCCTGTGGAATTACGTCGGTACCCGGTATGTCCAGAATATGGGGTGTAATTAACGTAAGTGCCACACGGATTATAGGAAAATAAAAACGGATATACAGATTTATTACCTGCAGGCACATAAAACCTTATGACGGGGTAGGCACAATAAATTGGATACCTTTTTTGTAATAGTCCATTATCTAAATCTTATTATTATTATCTTATTATTATCTAAATAAAAAGATCTGGTTTCATTCTATCAACAAATCACAGTTAATTGGGTAATACTGAGTATCCTCAAAGTATCTTTGAACTGGGAGTAAAAATTCTAGTGTTAATTGTGAAATTTGTCTGTTTATTTGTATTAACATCTACACTAAAAAAACAAAACACAACAGTATCTTCATAGTGATTTACGAATGAAATTATTTTGAGTGTTGAATTTCAGCGAAATGAGACACAAAAGAAAATGGATTAACTCCACCAAAAGCACCATTTACAAATAGTTTTTTTTTGTTACGGTGAACAAACATGTTAATTTTAATCTTATTTCTAGGAATATAGGTATACCCACATCTTCTAGTATAATTTACATTTTGTTTGGGGCACTATTCCAGGTGATTCAGTTTGATATTGGCGGCCTCATATCTCTTTTATTTTAACAAGTAGCTATAACAAACCCTACCTATATATTTTTAAACTGCCGCTCAGACTCTATCAAATGACATTATTAGATCGTCTCCATGGTAACATATGTCAAAATTGCTATAGTCAACTGTTTTTGTTCAAATGGCACTCTATATTTTTTATCAATTCTGGAAGATATTTTTTTTTCTGCATTCAGCTATGTAAGGAAGTCTATAGTTTCATTAGAAATATTGCTAGAAAAACAGCGCGAATACCAAACTGAATCACCCGGTATTCAAAAGCGAAGTAAATTTTGCGATAAATTAAATAGACAATTACTAGTGTATACAATTTTATACACATATGCAAATCAGTCTTTGCCAGATTTATTGCTGTGATTTTTTTTATTAATTTATAAATTATTTCATGAATTAATTACTTGTGTTGCTCTGTAACAGAAATTTGCAAATGTTTTGAACAGTTTAATTAATTAAATCTTACTACAGTCAAATTCATATCCTTTAATTAATATTTCAAACTCCAAAACTTCTAGCACCACTAGAACGTCATCTAAGTTATTTAACATTATGGCGAAGTCGCCGGTATAAATAAGTATATGTTTACTCAAACTAACTTCAAAAGAAGTGTACCAATTAAATTCCATAGCAAACTGGTCCTAAAGTAGAGTTTTTTCCTAGACAGTAGCTTTTCAACTTCTTAACTACAATATGTATTTTTTTAAATTTGAGTTCATATATAAGTAGATTAATGCAAAATTAGTTTATAAAAATTTTAATTATTAAAAAAATCACGAGTTCGACATCCACGTCATCTCTAGAGACAAAAATAATCACAAAAAATGTCATATAAATACAGTTTTATATGAGACATAGATTACTAATACAGATAAGTCCCAGCAAAAAACTTTTGTAATAAAGTATGGGAAGTACTTATATCTCTGAGGCATTTATCTCATACTTGCCCTACTGAGAACGACAGAGAAATAGCATGTCACAAGCAAACTCTTTGTACGTTAAATGATATTTCAATATGCTTTTCTTTAATACCAATGTGATGTATTGAAACATATAGATGCTTCTCCTCTGAATAAAAATCGCAACGTTAAAATATACGATAAAAAGTTGTTTTCATTTGGAGGGTAGCCACTTTCTCTCTAATGTTCTGAATAATTCATTTAAAAATTGGATTGCCTTTATATTCTTACCAGAGGCGTAAAAGAAGTAAGAACCCGTTAACATAAAAATATTGTAATTTCAAAAAATTAAGTAAAAAACTATAATGACTTGCTTTAAATATTCGTTTGCTAAACTGTGCATTGGTATCACGATATTTAAGCATTAGACATCTAAAGGAATGATTTAATTTTATTGATTAAATTGAAGTCTAATTCTTCATTATCTTATTTACCAATTTTACTGAAATATATAAGGAATTCAAACTCCTAGTTATATTTTTAAATAAATAATGTGGGGTGGTGTTTCTAATATAGTTTTGAATCGATTCATTTGCAAACGTTTTAGACAAATTATGAAAATTCGGAATACCTATGTGAAATTATTCCATCATAAAATATTCCTTCCGCAGTATCTATAAGTAGGTCAAAAGGGCCTGAAGCACTTCGGCCGGTTTTGGAGTATTGTGTAGGTCTTCAACAAACAGATCTGTTCTTTGTATAAAGTCGAAATTCTACCTGCAGGAATTTCCATAACTTACAAGGGCTCGAAGGAACATTAAATAATATTACGCGAGTATAGTTCGCATACGTGACAAAGTTACTTGTCTACAAATTTCAAGTTGTACAGTTACTTCTCTATATAACAGTGTTCTGTTAGAATCCAAATAATGTATCTGATCAAAATTTTACTACGCTCAGCTACGTTTCCGCAAGGAATATTTGTTAGTTCTTCTCACATTTAGTACAATAATGAAAAAATAGTAAACCTTATTTAGTTATTAACATTAACATTTAAGTCTGTAGCAATAGACATTTCGTTTTATCACATTTAACTTCTTTTCTATTAATAACAACCCTTGCAGCATTGTTGCTATCATTTTCGGAAAACATAACATCTGCCGAAGTTTGTGAAGAATTTGCACAAGTTACGGATGTCTCTTCTTTTAAGGAACAGCTATATTTTCTTTGGATTTTCCTTGCAATATCGAGTTTGTTATATATAGATTCCTCAACATGACTTTCTGCTACAGAGGAGCTCTTCCATCCACCATGCCGTTTGATGGTTGTAAGATCAGTACCTTTATTGGCCAATGGAAGTGCGCCTCATACAATGGCCAGTATACGGTTCCGGATTTGCGATATTCAGGAATGAAGCAGCTATTGAGGGTACCTTCACCAATGTGTTGATTCCACCAGACTGAGAAGTATATTTTTGATTGATGTCTCTTAAAAAGAATCTGTCTTGTGTTAGGCGAATTGGGTGCTGAAAAATATCTTTGCTGCATATTTAAATAGCATTCAACAACAGCAACATCCCTCTTCTATAATTGTAAATTTTCTTGAAATGCCCGTCTTGGTGTCAAGTATTGAAACATGCAGGTAACTGCCAACGTCCTGTACGTCACTAATTTCAATTTCAAATTTGTCAATTCTCAGTATCGACAGGCACCAGAAACCCCTGTTATTAGTGCATCCTAAAATGATCCAAAGTTCATATACAGGGTGTTTCTAAAATAGGGTTCCAAACTTCTGCTGCGTTTATAACTCATTAAAATAAGCCAAAAAGTTCCTATTAACATGTGCCCTAAAACGCACCCTTAGGAATTTATATGCCCTTAAAAGGGCTCAAACAAAACTGGTTTTTTTCTGTTATTGACAAAACGGTCGCAAATAAATAGAAAAAAAATTATGGGTCTTACATAACTTTTTACGTTAAATAACATGGGCTACTCCGTTTTTCGACATGCAAATCATATGCGTCCCATTTAGGTTGGTGAAGAGGGTTTTCGGCCCGTAATTTTTTTATTTCAATTTTATTACAATTTTTTCTACAGCTTTATAAAATCTTAACAATTTTACGTAAAAATTTTGTCTTTGTCCAAATCGATATTTCTAATGGTTTTCGAGTAAATTGAGTTTGAAAATTACTCTACTCTTTAAGTTATTAGGCCAAAACTTACAAAAATCTGTTTACCATATTGTGATGTAATTATGGATAAAACGTTGTTTTGCATTCGTGTTTTAATTG